ATTGGCGGGATTACTACAGTAACCAGTCTCTTCGTTTTTTTTTTTAAACTCTTTGACATAATTACAGATATGATAGACTCCCTCTTCATGACTACCGAAAAGTTGGATCTCCTTCAGACAAAGGTGACAGACGTGTACCTCCCCTAGACTAGATATGGGAAACGGGATTGGAGACACTAGTAGATACTGTATATTGAGTTGCTTGGCATGTCTTTCTTTCTCATTTTTGATTCGTGATGCCGAAATCCGCACCTGGTTCAATAGTACTATGTTGTATGTACATGGAGGGTTATGCATTAATCCCAGTACATATATGTATGATGGTAGTATGACGATGTTTGAATAAAATGTCCCCGAAGACGAGATATAGTTACTCCGTCAGTCACGGACACAAAAAACAGGAAGATGATCAATGTCTCATTGCGGGTGAGTTGCGCTGGATCGAAGTTTGCAGGATTCGGCCCCTGTTTATCATTTAGTGCGAATGATGGCGTGGGGTCCAAGGGACGGAGATATACGGATTTAAGACCTCCCCAAATATGTATTGTACATCAACCGTAGACTAGTCCATCTGCGTCTACGGAGTACTAAGCCAAATACGGAGTCTATCGCGACCAACAGGAAAAGTACATAACGGGCATATTCGGTACTACAGCTACTAATGTAGGTGTCGTGTCTAGTGAGGAGAAATTTTACGCCATTGTCACCATGCGGCTGAAATATAGACCGAGTCGACAAAAGGCTGAAATTGGGCGTCTAGGGTGAGTCGGATCCGAAGCGAAGCGGAAGGCCGAGAGGAGTTACGGGATCTAATGCTAGTTTGATTATTAATTCTAACTTGTTTCCTGACAAATTATTGAGCCAAATTTTTTTTTTTCAAACTCCCCTACTAAAATAATAGGCCAAGAGATGGAGATTACCCGTAGCCATGATCTAATGTTGCAAGGCGCCAGGCTTTTGCGCCTTTCGCGGACCAAACAGCCAACAGCCAACGGGTAATAGCCAATATTGGGATTACTGGGGTTTTCGGGATGCTCGCTCTTACATGCAGGAGGACAACGTCAGGTGCTCGCGCCAATGCGGGATGCTTAATGCGCTCATCACTTTTTTTCTTAGTTTCCGTGGCTAGCTGGCTAGTTGGCCAACTAGTTTGGAATGGGTTGTTGGTATAACAATATAACCGGCTTTTACAACGGGCACGCTCCACTAATCCAGATTAAGCATCCTTTGTAAGTCTAGGAGAAACATCATGCCACGTTTTCGATCTAAAAGTTCGGTGTAGTTCGGGGGATCTCCCCCGATCCTATGTTTCAAACTATCTGAGCCTCAAAAATCCTGATCTATGGTTGGAGGATCGTGGGATAAGGGTTGGAAGTCGCTATGATTTGGAATCTTTTATATTATGGCTTGAAAAGTCGGAGTCCTCCGTACTCCGTCCCAGTTAAATATATTGATATTATGCGTCAACACTACGGAGAAGACATTATCAACTTGTTCGTACTTTGTAGATGGTTTTGCAGATTGGCGAGATTTGTCTGGCCCGTTGTGGGGGGAAGAGGTATCTTCCCCCCCCCCCCCTCTCTTCTCCATTCCTAAGCAACGGTACCCGTTCCAAACACCGTGGGTTCCCCGAGTGTTGCGCAGTGACTGCGCGTCTCCGGGGCTCCATTCAAGACATGTTGGATCCTGGTTTACCAGCGATGTAGTATCCCATGGTGCAATTTCGGAAATTCCCCTATCAAACGAGTCATTTCCCCCCCCCCCCCTTTTCCCCCTGTCGACGGGCCCCTCCCGTTTCCAAAGAGGAGAGGAGATTTCAGAAAGTCCAAAGAAGCGTCCAAATTTAAAGATCTAGATCGAGGTCGGAATGTTAGCCACCAACTAAAAGTACAATGCTCATATCTACAACAATGTACTCCGCAAGCATGCACAAGCAATCTGGGATATAGAAATACCCGATATTACCCAATTGATTCTGTGCTTCAGCCGTGGGGCTGTCGGCGGCTATCGCTAACACGTTTAGCAACAGGACATAGCGTTCTTGGCTGCTGACTTGGGACAGCTGCAGAGCGTGGAGAACATAGCTTAAGTATTTGGAATTGAACCCTGCATTATTCTAGATATCTTATAATTGAGGAAATTTACAAAGCAACCCATATTACAAAGAAAAAAAAAGGAGTTTCGACACATCTCATCGATCTACAAGCAGACAAAGGAATTAGAAAAAGAAATGATGAAATCACTTAAGCGATATGAAAAGGTGATTGGTTGGATACAAATGAATATTGGACCAATCTGCCCACGTTCTGAAATTGATTAAATTAAAAAAATATATATATAGTATTCTTTTTTTCATTTCCTTTTTGTCGGACCTTGATGGTTGGCCGTTAGAGTGCCAAAGCGGCATACCAATTATGCACGGCATGACTCGCGCAATGCGACAATAATTAACTTGGAAATTACCATGTTCTTTTGCCCAACTGCAACCATATGAAAATGAACGCTTCAAGGTTTTCAGATATTCTTGGTCACAGTGGGGAGTGAAGCGCGATGCATATTATTCTGCATATACGCTCCTAGTGTACTCCATATATCTGCTAGATAGTATTGTCCACTTGTTAGAAAATAAAAAGGAAAAAAAAATGTCTTTGGGGGCTAGTGGTAAATTAAAATAATTTAATATAAGCTCACGTGATTGAAACCGTCTGCGGCTACGCGACTGACGAACGATATAAGTATTGTGATTGGATCTGGTGGAGAGCGGCAGACAAAGAAACCAGAGTGGAGAGAGGGGGGGAAAGGCTGGCTTTAGCCCCGGGGGGAGCCATGTTGATCCGATCTGCACGGAATCGGGGGCTTCAGGGACTAGGATTGCCTGTGAGGAGAGGCTTGCCAAGGGGGTCTCGGAAGCAACGGACCATACAGAACCGGAGGATGCCGCCCTAATTCAGAATGGATTTCACGCTTGCGCAAGTTGACTGCGCCGCAAGAGATACAATCACAACGTTTCTGCCTTCTTTTGCGCTCTTTCTTTTTTTTTTCCATCACATTTTTAAGGAGATTGCATGGATTATGACCTCTATGGTTAGATACAGGTTTATATACCTCATAAGGAGTACTCCGGCTATACCTACGCATACTTGCCTATACCTACCTTTTTGCATACTTTCCCCTATAGAATTGTAAACCTTGTGAAGAACATCCAAGGAAACCGTTGTGCGGCTGCAGATGACTGACGATCGGCCTGGTCAAGGCGCAGATCGAGTACAAAAAAAAATCATGACGCAGAGAGAAATTCATTATCACGCGAGTACTATCATATGTACCGAGTAGTACTCTTGTAAACAGGGGCAATTCTGTAAATGGACATGCAGCGTCACCGAATTGATATTTCTACTTGAATATGCAAGTTGACTGCGCGGGAAATCCGCTTTCTGTATCGGCTGCTGCCGAGTTGACGCCGGCGTTCATTATTGAATTTCTCTAATTTCCCCCCGCGTCGGCTGTTTGAGATAAAACAGACAACCATGGTTCTATCTCGGGGAGAAAAGATTTGAGATTGGATATTGGCGCAGTATACATTTCTATTGTTTCATCTCAGCTCCGTGAAAGACCCTGAAGAGGATAGAGAAGAACTAAGAAACTAGGTGCCATGGTCTTCAAGGATCTATCCCTCTTACCTCATAATGCGCCTGGTAACCTGGCAAAGGCAGATGTGTTGGCAGTGCCAAATTGAGCTTGCATTAGCCCGTCGCGCTCATTCGTCCCGCCATCCCAGGGCCATGGCGTACGTTGTAACAGATGACTTTTGCGTCTACCAATAGACGCCGCGCGTTTGTGTTGGTTCTTTTTCTCTCTCTCTTTTAATTTCTGCACTCTTTCTTTTCTTTTTTTTTTTCTATTCCCATATCCATGACCTTGGGTTAAAAAAAAAAGAAAAGGTAGGGCGAAAAAACAAACAACCCAACATCTGACTGTATCTATTAGTTACTTATCCACGTGAACGGGTACCTATGTACTCCATAGCGTTGGACAGAATGAAACATAAAACAGAAAAATGCAAGTTCTTCAAGTGAATTTTGGTATATTAATATGTATTGAAGCTGAGTCTGAATCGAGCCTATCACTTAACCGCTCATGCAGAGGGATGCATCCTGTATGAATTCCGTAGGAAATTCCAATTCCGATTGAATCTACGATAACTGATATCTACAGTTTAAAGGAATTTGTCATTCATAATTCACCTTGGCGCTAAGATTGCAAAAGGCTAAAGGTAAATTGTAATTTTGGTCACCGCGTGGCCCCCGTTTTCCAGGAATTTTTTAAAAAAAAGCTACAAAGTACTATTATGTACATATATATGTATACAAAATTGTTAAACTTATATAAAAGAATCGGAGTAGACCGAAACAATCGCCGTTCAAAAGATATCAAATTAATTTAGTGGCGAGAAATAATTTAAAAAATATATATGTTCATACGGTCCACCAAGCACGGAGGAGTATGTCCGGTTCACCGGTTCATTTATTCATTTTTTCTTTTTTCTAATATATAATATATATATATATATGTATATATTTTTGAATAGAAAATTGTCTGGGGGTGGAACCAAAATAAAAATATTAAAAAAGGACCCCTGTTAGCCTAAGAAGCCTTGTGTATCCGTACACAGCTATACAGGGGCCAAAGGAAGTCGGTCCAGTGCACCAGTTAGTCTATTTTTTTTTTCTTTTTTAATTTTCCCTTCATTTAAGACCAGACAGTGCTCCAGTGATCTTCTTTTCTTTTTCTAGAGTTCCGAGATCTATAAACCTTGCCCATTACCCCCAAAGGGCTATTATACTTTTTTCTTGTACTTCACATCATCAATTGGCTCTTTGATATACCTCTATATCTTCCCCACTTCTACTATCAGATCTGGGAGATCCAAGCTCTATAACTTCATTTGAAAAAAAGCCAAGCTCTACGTACTGGCCAAAAAAAATCCCATGTTATCCCAAATGGCAACCCACACAGAATCATACGCAACACTGCCATCAGCACGACAAAGCAGAATGAAAATCGACGCTCTACTGAACCCAGGCGACGGAGACTATGACTCTCCACGCTCCCAGCACGCCTCAATTCCATCCAACCGCCACAGATACCACCAATCCTCACCAACCTTCCCCCCAAGCCCAAACTACTGGTACAACCGGAGCTACCACGACACCAGCCCAGGCGCACTATCCAGCACCACTACAGCAACCACCCAAAGCAGTAGCAGCACCACCGCCAACCACAGCGTAAACCCGCCCCAATCCCATCAGATGTTCTTCACCTACCGGCCCTCGGCCAGTACCAACAGCAACCGCGCCAGCGGGAGCACAAACCAAAGCTCGCTCTCGGCGCCGTCGTCGCCGGACCCGTACCACTCGCGCGAGCGCTTCTCAAGCGTCTCAAGCTCGTCCTCTAACAACGGCGACCGTCGTCGTCCCCCTCGCCCAAAGTACGAGGAAGAGGAAATGTACTTCATCTGGTACCACCGCGTTGACTTGTGTCAGGAGTGGAAGGAGGTCCGTGAGGCTTTCAATCGCCAGTTCCCGGATCGCCAGAGACGAGGCTTCCAGGGTATTCAGTGCAAGTTTTACCGCTTCATCAAGGAGAAGAAGTGTCCTACCCTGCGTGAGCAGAGGCGTATGCGCGATGGCGAGTTCCTGAGGGAGGGTGCTTCGGCTGCCCTCGCTGGGGACCATGGGCCTGCGCCTAAGTTCGGTGTTAGGGAATATACGAATGTTTGGTATCCTTGGATGAGGAAGGAAGGGGACGTTGCTTTGCGACGGATGGGGTGACCTTTTCCCCCCTGATTTTCTCAATTTCTTTTGTGCTTTTTGTGCTTGGTTCTTTTGCTTTTGTTATTGGGAGGTCAATTTGTCTACTGTCTTTGTTTTTGCGTGGGTCGGTCTTCGTCTTTACTTAAGATACCTCTGTTCAGCGTGGGAGGTCTACTGTCGATTTTGATGTTCTCTCGTTTATCTTAACTCTTCCACTCGGGCTCCTGTCATTTCTTCATTTCTTGTTTCTTACACCTTCACTTTCTACCCGTGGACACTTTCCAAGCAAGCCTTGGCTTGGACACTTTCCCACCTTTGAAGCTTGTTTCTTGGGTGCTATATAATATCTACAATACGTCATATGGATCAATCCATACTTGTGAGAATCAAAATACATATTCAGATTTACAACAAGAGTATATATTACTATAAAGAGTTCGAGGTTGAATTTGAATCTATTAAAATTATTTCTCTCGGCTTTTACCCGGTATGATGCATCACACATATTCTCCCCAGGGCTGCATTTCCCTTATTCACTCTTGAATTATTGTTAAGCAGCCTCAAACAAACCTCCCTTGCTTTTAACCTTTACGCCTCGCGCATACCAAGGCGGGAATTCCCATTTATCTTCCAAATCCCAACGCACATGTTCCTTCCTCGCCTGGTTTGAGATATTTGGAATACTCCCCCGTCTTTTATCCAATCTTCCAAGGAAGGATAGCCGGAGTAGCCGTTGAATCTGACCCGATTCGATTATGCATATATTATGTACATGTATATGCAGCAGTGATCATCAATAATCACAGCCCATTGTGGTATTCCCAGTGTCCAGACCATAATTATTGTTCATATTGTACGGAGTAGTACTTCCGTACTCCGTACGCTAATCAGCACAGCCGGCCAGACTGTGCTAAGAAAAGAACTTATCCACAGCCCGGCCAATCCCTCAGATCCGTCGATCGTGGGGGTCCCATGCACAATCCTTCATGCCAAGGCGAGTGCCATCTTTCGTCTAAGTACTCCATATCTGTACTAAGTATGAAGATCTTCGGATCTGTGTGTTATCGATTCCGGACCACGTTGTGTGATTCTGACCTTGGAAGGATTGCATTGTTGGCGTGTGGTGCTTATGTGCCGTGCTTACAGTAGTATAGCTTGGGGGCCAATTGTTCGTTTCAATCGGGTAATCCGTGGTCCTTCTTTTTTTTTTTTTTTAATATCTTGAGGTGGTTGTTTTGTTAATTAATCAGCGGTAGGTAACTAACTAAACGCGTCTAAGGGTGAGTCATACCTATAATATATAATGTACGGAGTATTACTCCGTAGTCAATATTTTGATATTCTAGATGATCAGTCCAGGCGATAAGGACAGGGGAATTGACATGTCGCGCTTCGGCGTTTGGTTTCTTTGCTTTTATTATTGCTATTGTTTCACTTCTGGATAATGTCTACCTATTATCAACCCCATTTCGGTGACCGTGGACCGGCGACGGAGTACCGAGTATGGAGCAAATGGAGATCGTCGAAAACAAAAGGAAACATGAATGTAAATGGGGCCAATCCTGCCAATTCCTAGCGTGCGCGGGTTCGGGAATTGACCCGCGGGCTCCAGTTTTTTTTTTTTTTGTGTTTTCCTCTCTCTCTGAAAGATAAATCCCGATGCGATGTCTCAGCCTCATTGTTTCTCGAGATGGGGCATTGTTGTTTATTGGGCTATGGGGCGAGAAAGTAATAAGGGGCTGATATGTAAGTTATGGTTGAGTTGCAAGTGCATATAAAAGGGCAAATTCGGCTAATAGTGTACGGAAGAATTGAATTGACAAAAGGCTTTGAAAGCATATGTTACATAGAACAATATAGAAGTGTTCCGTGCCTAAGGGAAATTTCAGGCATAAATGCATTGGTACATTGGGGGCCGTACAGTATGTTTTATGTTTTGTATATAATACAATCTAATTGGGTGTAAATTTATGGATATTTCACATTTGCAAGTTACAGGTAAAATATGAAGTATAGAAACACAATATAGAAGCACAGCATATTGTGTTATAGAGGGTATATAGGGCATACAGGCACCAGTCTTTTAACGGTCAGGACTCGAAGACGGGTAGAACTGCATATGGGGGCAATTTGCAATCCAAGACTGTTGCAAATTCGTGTAAATTCACTAAATAATTTAGACTAAAAAGCTATCCACATCTTCGAACTTCCCCGGCACTAATGGTTCGCACTAAATCCCAAAACCCCACAATTGACCTCAAAGTGACCACTCTCCCTCTTTTGCACTGTCGAATCTCATCAGCACTAACACGCAAAGAGTAGGAGGGGCGTTGCAAATGCCGATACAGTTCATGACTAATTTAATTTAAATCCGCCAATGAAACACATTGTGTGATCCTCGGGCGCCATCGCTTCATTTAGATTGTCGGGTATTTTATCGTGACAGCATTGTTGTGTGACGAGCGATCTGTGTTGGTTGCACCGGCGAAGTTGTGTATATTGTGTTATTGTCATGGTTGACCTGCATCTCTATGTTGGATTTCTCCTACGACCGTAGCAGCTGCTATATACATATACAGTAAATGGGCGTTTCTATCATCTGTAGTGGCTGTACTCCCATGTTAGGAATCTCAATTTAGTGTTAACATGTGTTTCATTGAATGGGCTATGGTAGCTGGAATTATTTCCTAACATGAGGAAGAATCATTGACTGAAAATCCGTCGAAAACAAATTGGAAGATCTCAAGAGGTCCTTTTTGACTCCCATATCTGATTCACTGTGATCAAAGTAAATAACCATGATGGATACGACGTGGCCGTGACTGTCAATGGATATGAATTTCATACCCAACTAGTCCATGGCGATCATGCCAGAGAGCATCGGGTTGGGCTCATCAACGAAGTGGAATCCCTGAGCACGAGCGCATCTAGTGGAATCACAAGTCAGCAAAGAAATATTGACAAACTGTAAACTGATAACTTACGAATCAACTTCAAAGCTGGCAATGCAGTCATATGCTCCCTCTTTGATGCTTTGCAAGAAGTCCCAACCTTCATGGAGGTCATAGAAGAAGATGTAGACATCAACACCAGACTTGGAAAAACAAGTTAGCAGAAATTCATAACACAAAACTACTGGCGGGCAAATTTACCTCAGCCTGTTTGATCAGGATGTGATCAAAGCTCTTGCCATTCCAGGCAGGGTTAGCGCCAATACCCAAGATTGCCTCGTTGTCGCTACTTCTGAAGCCAGCAGGAAGACCGGAGAGACAAACAACACGCGAAGCACCCTCGTCGACACGCTTCAAAAGCTCAGCGTTGTCCTGCAGACCCTCCTCAGGCATGGTAACAGAAATAGTGAGCTCGTCATCACCATCCTTCAAAGTGATTCCATCAGAGTGGTTCTCATAGTACTTGACACAGTCGTCTTGCTCAACAAACTGCACAATGATTTCATCATCCTCACTCCAGGCGCGCTCGATAGCACCACCATAGACGAGGTGCAGGATGCTGGAGATGTTGGCCCAATCAGGGAGATTTCCGAAGACAATTCGACGTGGAGGACCGGGGGGCACAACCTTTGCTGCCGCCTGCTTCTTCAATTGGAGCTTGCGGACTTGCTTCATAAAATCGGCTGGAGCAGTAACACCGCGGGGTTTCTTGGAAGAGCCAGAGGACTCCTCATCCACGATGGACTCGGACTTGTGGGATGCCTTGGAACCGGCAGTGGAGCCTGCATCCTTGCTTCCGGCAGCTTTAGTGGGAGTACCAGTACCAGCGACCTTTGCCTTCTTGGGTGCAGTGGTATCCTTGGCGAGAGCACCGGCAGGGCTTTTGTTCTTGACGGCAATACTCTTGGCGGCGATGTCCTTGGAAGCGATGTCCTTAGCGGGAATGTAATCGGCGACCTCACAATGGGGTCTAGCAGACTCGGCGGTAGCAGGAACAAACGGCTTAGCGCGTGGATCGATGCTAGACTTGTCCTGGGCAACACCGGTAGAAGCAGTCTTCTTCTGCTATGAAAGATTGGCGTGAGACAGAAATTAACGAAGAGATATATAAGTAGCATCCTCGAAAATGACGGAAATTGAAGGGGCCCATGAACAAAAAAGAAGAGCATACGAAATGCAAGCAGCGGGAAACGTCGAGGCGTGAATAGGGAAAGGGTGCGACATACTTTTCCGACATCATTCGGGACACCCATCTGAGTGTGGGCAGAATTCAATCGAGCTGCGAGGGCCTTCAGACGGTCGGTCTGAGCCTTGTTACGGACATCCACAGGAGCGTGAATGCTCTCCTCGAGGCTGATCATTTTACATTTGGTGATCACGTCGTAAATCACCTCAGTAGTGATACGGACATCAGCTTGCTTTTCGCGACTGATTGGCGCAAGGCCGGTAGGACCAATAACTTTGACGTTCTTCATGATGGTTGAAAGATCGAGCAATGGGGGGAAAAAGAAGAAAAGGAGAAGAGAAACAAAACAAAACAATTTATTGGACTTGGACGCGCAGAACGTGTTTGGGATAGTTTGTGTTTGACTTGGGAAGGCACACGTTGACCCGGTGGCTCTTTCTTTTTGAGAACACAAACTTGTCACGCTGTTTCCTTAAATATGTCCGACTGCGTAGTTTCCTAGGCAGTTCACTTATGCCTACTATCACCCCACGAGAAAAGTAAGTGATTATGATAGTTGGGGCTCAGAGGCTTCACGTTAATATGATCTCCATTTTGAGTATTAATGTCTCTGTCTGTACATTCGTCATAACTTCTATTACCAAATACCAGGTCCGAAGACCCATATAAAATAGAACATCAAGATAGAATGGCCCGGAGTTATTCCTACGAGGCACAAATCATACCTTGAACATGTTCAGTTAGAACAGGTCTCTAGAAAGTCATTCCACTATACTATTATCGGGAGGATGTTGACTTGTCCGAAAACAAGCAGTCCACTATGGGCTTTGAAAAACAGATCATGCCAGCGCCCATAAGGTAGTGTATGATGACTACATAGTATGTATATATTCAAGAAAGCTATAGAAAACAAAGAACAGCTGGGGATATATACTGACCTGATTCATGGGAGGAATTTCCAACAAAGAGATATCTCAGGGAACAGACAGTACTCTTTATTTCTTTTCTGGAGGCTGTACTTTTACCAACCTGCCTTGTTGTGCTTTAAACAATATCTTGTTCATCAAGCTACACACTGGTCGAAATAGCTAAATCTTGAGCATGGCTTATTCGGTCTTCTTCTTCTGATAGCCCCAAGCTAGTATCATTTTATCTGGGCTAGTTTCAAATAATCAGTATTTGCAATATAAAATCTTCTCGGTCTAGATGTAAACAAAGAGTGAATTGACTTTTCGAGTTAGTTTTGCATTTTGGGGTTTAGATATAAAAGACATGTTGCAATGTGAACGAGACTCGATTTTTGCAATCTGGGCTTCAAGGGTATATACTCTTGTATGTAGTAATCCACAAGAAACAAGTCACTTGTCTTTCATATTTAAAATGTCATACTCCTCACTACTATCCCACTTTTGAGGGTTCATTCAAACTTTATGACCCTGCTATCACCTTGGTGTTATGTCTCAACCTCACATCCATGTTCTTTTGCCTCACAAACCATGCATTAACAATTTTCCATTCTGCACTGGGATCGTTCAATTCAATCTGAAGAAAGTCCTGGTTAGAGTCAAATCTCATTTTGGAACCATATTCTCACCTTGTATCTTAGAAATAGCGATGGAATCAGCTTATAAATCTCTAGCAGACTGATATTTTTGCCAATGCAAGTCCTCGGTCCAGCTCCGAAGGTAAATGTCGCACGAACCATCTTCTGCTTTCTGTCCTGGAAATCGGCCTCGGACTCGGTATCCATCTTGAGCCACCTTTCTGGAACAAATGACTCCACATCCTCTCCAAAGATCTGGTGGCGATGTATAATCCACGGATTAGCGCCAACGATCGTCCCAGCTGGTAGAAATGGGCCATCGGGAAGTTGAAGTCCCTCGGCGGGCACGACCCGCTCAAGCATCAGTCCTACCGCCGGGTGAAGGCGTAGTGCTTCTTTAATCACTGCATCGAGGTAAGGGAGTTGCTCTTGGCTTTGCTTCCATGAGACAGGTAAAGAGATTCGATTTTCTTCCAAGGCAGTGGTGAGCTCTTGGTGCAGTTTCAAACTTGCTTGGGGATTCTTAAGGGTGTAATAAAGTATTGCTCGGAGGGAAATTGCCGTGGTGTCGGAGCCAGCATTAATATTGCTGATCGTATATGAGAAGACTTGGTTATCGTTTACAATAGCCGGGTGTTGATCTTTCGCTTCCAAGAAACGGGCGAGAAAGTCTTTGTGTGAAGAAGCCACTGGTAGTGTGCTTTTCTGGTTTAATCGTTCATCCAGTCTTGCACGAGCAAAGCGAGCCACAGCTCCGGTCGACGCGCCTCCGAAAACGCTCTTGAGAGGATTCTTGATGAAAAGGTAGTCAAGCCACGGCATTTGCCCAATCTAACATTCAATCCAATTAGCTTTAATGTCAATTGTCTGATGCGTCGCAATGCTAACCTTTCCGGCATAGTCGAGCATATGCTCCAATGCTCCAATGATTCCGTCGATATCACCCCCTTTCTCGAGGAACCCAAGTGGCTTACTGAATGTCAATTCTCCGATGACATCAAATGCATCTTTTTTTGGGCTATATTAGCTCCTACTCTCATGTCTCACGGGGATGAATAGAATACTTACAGTATTGTAGCCAAGCAGCAATATCGCAGACTTTTGCTTCAGTTACAAACTCATCCAATTTCCCAAATAAAGTATGAATAGTCTTATCGACAAAAGGCTCGAATTCGGTCAGAGTACTCATTGAGTAAGCTGATGAGATAGGCCTTTTGATAGCAGCGTGGAAAGCTTCATCGGTCGTAGTAAATATTGTAGGCGTCGCTCTGCCTTTGGCAAGCTGCTGCTGAACACGATAGAAATTTGTCTTGGGAATTTCAGCGGAAAGGTCAATCAGTTCTTGTAATTTGAGCCCACCTTTTGATATCCCTTATTAATGCCATATATAGTTTTTAAAGCATCTAGATTCCGCACACTAACCACATTGGGTCCTAGCCGAACATAGTCCCCATGTTTTTGATGGAGGCTGTAAAGCGTCACTTCTGCACGACCATTGGCGACATCAATGAACCTCCAAAGGTTCGTTATCTTAGCCAATAATGGTCCGGGGATTGACGCTGCTCCCGGTTTGAGGTAATTGCGAGTGAAATGAAATAAAGCAAGGGCAACAAGGATGGTTGGTAAATGTGACCAGACTGAGATCAATGCTTCTGAGATTATGGCCATGCTGAAGTACACAGGGATTGTCTCCTAATGTATTGGCTTCCTACGCAACTACTAGGCTGTTGGTTTTATACGCTGGCAAATGTACTTTTTATGCCTTGGATCTTGTATGAAATGCGGGGAAAGGGGATAATTCCGCGCTAGCCGCGGAATGTTTGCGGCAATGTAATGCTCAGTAGTCTACATTCGGATGTTAAATCGACAGTTCAGAGTTGTGAACATTAGTATGCATATGTATTATTCATTTATCCACTAAAGCTCCCCAATAAAACTACCAATACACCGAAGACACCGAAAGATGAGCAAATCTATAAGACAAGAATGGGGAGAATGCGCATCTGACCCCAAAACATTAAAGCTTCTACAACGGGACAGGAATACTCTCGAATCCTTTCTGCCCGGGCTTACGGTTTTCAACAATAACTTGAAGGCCACGACGACCACAATAGCCATCATTGCCCGCAACCCGATCAACGACTTCAAAAGAGCCGCCACCTTCTTTTGCAGCATTTGGAACCCACACAGTCTCCTGCACAGTTTGACCGGGGACTTCCGCGCGACGAGGATTGTGCCAAGGCAGACCGACAATGTGATTCCCTAGGTTGTGGAGGAACGAGTATAGCCTCTCGAAGCGACGGGTGACTCCCAGCCAAGAGAGGGTGCGGTGATCATAGGCGGTTCGCACGAATGGGTTCATGTAGATGCCCGTATCGGTGATCTCGTCGACATTGGTTGGTGGGTCTTGGATGTCTGCATGGATGAGGCAGCATTCGGACGCTTCCCAGAAGAGATCTTTTCCAGCGCGGAAGCGTGCGGGGTTAGGGGTCGTAGGTGGCGAGCCGGTTTGGAAGTATTTGGCATCAAATGCCACGATTCCGCCCCAGCAGCTGCGCACTCGCACTGCGTCTTTGCCAGCCAGCACATCGCGGCGGCTCTCGCCTTTTCCGGATGAGGTGAACCATGGATAGAAGGGGAGACCCATGCTGTAACCTTCAAGATCGCGGGTGGCGTATGTATCGTAGAATTTGATAGGGTTGTCGAAGTCTACGGCGCAGGCTGCACGGTATTGGGCAACGCCATCTTCGTTGGCGTTTGTTGAGAATAGGAGCTGAGGGACATCGGCGGGGTGGAAAAGGATATCGTTCAGATAAAGTAGCTTATCGAAATTCTTCTCCGGGTGGTCGGTCAATGGTTGTAGTGCTTTGTTCCGAACCTGCGCTAGGTATTCGATGCGCTTGATTCGCTTTGATCCACCAGGAATGGTCACAGTCGGTATAGTCTTCGGATCCAGGTGCTTTTCAGACACAATGGATTTCTGGCACTTCACTTTCTCCTCTAACGCGCGCAGTGCTCGCTCTCCTTCCTCGCCACTGTCATTCTCGTAGATGCTCAGGAATACATTGTCGGGCCCAAGAAGATCAATCAACTCCAGAAGTTGCGTTCCCCATTGGCCCTGAGCAAGTTCGCCACCACTGTCGTACAAACTTGCTGCAATAAAGACCTTCTCTTGGCGGGGATTGCCTCGGCCGGGATATGAGCTCTCGAGTACTGTTTTGCGGAGTGCAGAGTAATGCGCGGGCAGATGGGTATATGACGGGAGGAGTAGCGAGGTGAAAAGCGCGAGGACGAAAACGATGCCGGCGACGACGGGGAGGTAGCAACAGCGGCGAATACAGAAACGTCGAGAACAGCTCGGTCGTGGTGTGCCTGCAAGGGCCGGTCTGGATGGGTTATTCAGGCGGCGATAACCTGCTGATGCCGAGGAGATAATTCTAGAGAACCATGGCAGTTGGCGTTTGCCAAATTTGGATGAAGAGGGGACTTGTGCTTCAAAATCATCCTCGTCGAGGTTGAACGTCCCCTGCGAGTCAACTGAGGACCGTGAGGCAAGCTCCCATTCATCGGGATGAAGTAGTCGTGCAGTCATGATGGATCGTGTCACCAAATGGGTACATGCCCTTGGGACTTATCTTCAACTGCAAATTGATCTAATAAAGTGGCACGCTCCAGCCATTATCGATATCAAAAAGCAACTTGTTCAATGATTTTCCTTGGGGCCCCGTGGAGAACTTACGTCATCATCCCCGATCACGTGTTGCCAGACAAGTATATGATGTACAATGTAGATCTCGAATGTTTCTGGGCTTCAATGAATATCATTATAGATAGAAAAATGAACCTCTGAAAGTAATAAATTGAGAATATATCGTCCATTCCGTCATTTGGGCGGCTCCAGTATAAAGAAACGTGTAACATGTTTTTCCGATGGAGGTTCCGATATGTAGTGACGTAGCTGAAGTTAGGGCTGCCTGTTTTGTTCGCCCGGATGAAATCATTTATCTTTCTGCTTACTCTCTATGTTAACTTACTCAGATCCTCAGTTTTCCGCTCCAAACCCACTCAGTAGTCCAAATATCTACATGGTGACTGAACATACTTCATCTCGGATCATACCACTGTTTCCCCGCATTCCACAGCCCACCATGTCGCAATCACAATTCAAATTCGCCAACTCAGATGCCGAAGTGCCAGGCAACGGTACTCTTCCTTCAGAGTTTACCATCAAAGCACCAGCTTCCACAGATATATGGGCCAAGCCGCCCTCCACCTTCCGCTTCTCAGCCCCGATCTTGTACAGGTCTATGCCGCTGAAGTCATTCAAGCGGGCCCGCGTCGCCTTCAATGCCCATTGGGAGAAGAACTATGATCAGGGTGGCCTAATTCTCATCCTAAATACCGCCGATGGTGGTCAGAAGTGGGTGAAGAGTGGCATTGAACTCACCCATGGCAGACCCCACCTCAGCGTCGTTGCCAAAGACAACTGGGCGGATTGGAGCTTGCTCCCAGTGCCCTCAGGTGGTAATCTGGCAACCCTTGAGCTGGTTAAGGAAAAGGACAACAGCCTGTGGATCTATCTTGTGGAGGGTTTGGAGAAGTCTCCTATCCGGGAGGTCACTTGGGTCTTTGAGGAGGAGAATGTGAAGGACTTGTGGGTTGGTCTCTATGCTGCCCGGCCCTCAAATGAGGGTGGGGAGTTGCCTGTCCATTTTGGTTCCTTGGTTATAGACCAGGAATAGATTGACGGGATGTTGATAGCTAAATGCCCCAATAAGTAAATGGCCATGGCCATGGCGAACAATCAGGATATACATATATGATGAACAGAATAGTTGGAACAATGAAGTAAAGCAAGACTACCTTTGACCATTGTAATGAAGAACAGTAGAACATTCATGAGCTGCCTAGGTAGAAATAAAGATACTGGCTTGCTACTTTGCACAGAGATACATACCACGGCTCCACAGGGGTTCTAGGTCCCCCTGTACATGTCCAAAGAGGACGGATATGGCGCAGATCAGCCGATGTGCAGATCAGCCGATGTGCATATAGCTTTCAGTCAATAAAATTGATTTCTAAACGTCTCTAATTGTTAGTTATTTCATTGTTTGATCTTTGTCATGGCGGATGATCAGTCACTAACTAGTGTACTCGCTAGTGATTTATCAGGTACTTTGAGCACATATCTACAAATACATCATACACATTAATTATTTGTGATTCTGGTATCATTAAATGGAATTTAAGTTATGTATTTGATGTCTAAATTTTACTTTTGGATCTCTACCTATGTTTGTCTTTTCATATTTTGATATTAGTAATATGATATCCTATAACTAACTAACTATTTGTACACCCTGTTAACTTGAGAGTATCAGCCTCCAGCTCCCCGATCGGAGTTATCTGATCCTACTATATCTACTTAGTGCAGTGTAATCCCGATAATCGGGTGTATGCACTGCACGAGTCCTATTCCAGATGCCGAGGTCACACCAATCGCGTGTTAATATGACACAAGTGGAGAAAGTAAATTAGAGATTCCTTCTCTTTTGTTTCACCCCTTTTTTTCCTTCTATATTTCCTTTTAACTACATATGTTGTATGTACGGAGTATATACTCTGTATGTTGTACTCCGTAGTATGTATATCAATGCAGAAGATCGGGTCATCGGCTCCATTATTCCGGCAGTGACCTGATGTTTCTCGGAGTTGAATCAACAGGGTAGCAATGCATGTGGCTGCCAGATAGTGGAGACATGTTCTATAGTCATGCAACTTCTTCCATGAAAAAAGAAAGGAAGAACTTGCTTAAACCCGAATCAATACAACAGGGATCAGAAAAAAATCAAACTTCCATCTTATCTGATTATGTGAACCAGGAAAAAGTGACTTGGCAGTACCAAAGTTCAGCCCATGCCACCAAGTGAACAGATGTATCCTGCGGGTACCCCTCCAATTGTAACCAAATAGTGCCCGTGCATGTGGAAACTCCACCTTTTTTTTAATTTTCCTCTCCAACACATCTTTCTATGTATTATATCTTTGGGAAAACACGCTGAACATCTGGGAATTTCAATATCCCAGAATGATGACTGGACTACGGTTGTGACACTCGTGGACAGTTTTCTTGGACTTTTTTGGTGCAGCATCCTGGAATGTTAGAGCTGAGATCAGACCTCAGCCTCTCACCTCACGTCTCTGCCATCAGACCCCATCAACGTGCATAAGTGCGACCGACGATCGGGCTCGGGGTCATTTTGCGCAGAAAAAAAAGCCCCAAGACCTACTCCGTACAGGCCTAAACTCTTCAAGGCTTCCCCTTACATTTTGGGCGTCCCCTCCGAAGCACGGCGGATCTACCCATACGCCAACTTGCCCCATAACTGCCTACCGGATCCTGCTTCTTACATACAATAGCCCTTCATGAACCGGGCAAGCGCGCTTCCACAACTTTTCCCATATTGTGCCCCATATTTATTTCCTTCTTGTCTTGTCCTACTCCGGTCTCCGATTCGCTGTTGAGATCTCGTGTTGTGGTTTCTTTTTCCAGGTGGGCCTGACTGGCTTCGGCTACCTGGCTGAAGAGCACCTGAGAGTATTTGCTTATTAGAGCAGGCTTTCATCCCTTTTATGTGATACGCCCGCCACTACTTACATCTGATGTCGCATGAACTGTTTTTATTTTTATGGTCTTTTTTCCGCTTAACCGCCGCTTCCAAGATCGCCGTCTTTTGTATATGGTTTCTACCAATCCAAAACTGAACTCTCTTACTGGTTGTTCTTATATGGACGCTGTTCATTAGAGAATACTCCTGTTGAACGTATACGACCTTGTGGTAACGGTGCATCGGTCACGGAGATGCCACTTCCTGATCCATGCTCAGGACCGTCCTACGGCACTATCGAACACGAAGACGCCCAAATGGAGGATGAAAGACATCAGCTGCTGCAGGATGACTACGAGGTTGAGGGCCAGTCTAGTGGACTGTCTACACCGGATGAAGTGCAGGAGGGAGTCCGAAAGATTGAAGCCATCAATATGACTTGGACAACTAAGTCTTTGATGGTGGCCTACGTCAGGTTCGTGTGGCTTGCGGTCCCTTGCCTTGGGTAACCCCCTGCTGACTTGGCGCATAGTATATTCCTCATGGCATTTTGCACGTCGCTGGAAGGTCAGACTGTGATGTCACTGTCTGCATATGCGACGAGTTCATTCAGCAAACACGCGTTGATCTCGACTGTCCTCGTTATTCAAAATGTGGTCAATGGTGAGAGTTTACCACTTCGTCCCAAAGGAATGAGCCCGCCGCTAATAGTTCGTCGATCCCTAGCTGTCATCAAACCCCCTATGGCTAAGATCGCCGACGTATTCGGTCGCTTCGAGGCTTTCTGTTTGAGCATCCTTATATACATGTTGGGATACATCCAAATGGCCGCCTCTACCAATGTCCAGACCTACGCCTCTGCCCAAATCTTCTACTCCGCCGGTTCGACAGGCTTACAGATTCTCCAACAAGTCTTCATTGCCGACAGCAGTGACTTGCTGAATCGTGCTTTCCTCGCCCTTCTGCCCGAATTCCCATTCTTGGTTACGGTCTGGCTCGGGCCGACCATTGCGGGCGCCGTGCTGCGCAATAGTTCATGGCGATGGGGTTATGGAATGTGGGCTATTATCTTGCCTGCATCCTTCCTGCCACTCGCTCTTACACTGCTCTTCAACCAACGTAAGGCCCAGAGATTGAATCTGATCAAGAAGCGGACCAGAAAACGAACGGACGTGGTCAGCGTCATGCGTCGGACCTGGTACGATCTGGACGTGGGCGGACTGGCCCTTTTGTCCGCTGCCGTCACATTAATTTTGGTACCTTTGACTCTTGCGTCCCACGCAAAGAACGGATGGAAAAATGTCAGTATTTTGGTCATGATCGCGCTTGGTGTTGTTTGCATGTGTCTGCTACCCCTCTGGGAGACTTCACGGAGATTGGCTCCTAAGCCCCTACTCTCTCTACACCTCCTCAAGCAGAGAACTGCTCTTGCGGGCTGTGCATTGGCGTTCTGGTATTTCAGTAAGTTGATTATTCCATCGATCTTCCAGGTTTTTTTTCGTTAACCTTATCTAGTGGCCTTCTACTTTTCCGTTCAGCCTTATCTGTATTCCTACCTGCAGGTTGTACAAGGGTACGACGTTGCCACTGCCGGTCGTGTCACCCAGACCTTTTCTTTTGCCTCAACCATTTCTGCATTCGGCGTATCAATCCTCATCAAGTATACCCGACGATATCGCATTTACATTACTATCGGATGTATTGTGTACATGGCCGGCCTAGCCCTAATGCTCCTGTGCCGAGGAGAAGGAGCCTCGCACTTCCAAGTCCTTGGCACACAAATCTTAGTTGGCGTTGGTGGCGGTCTGATTAACGTGCCCGTCCAACTGGGCGTCCAAGCATCCGCCAGTCACCAGGAAGTCGCAGCAGCCACTGCAATGTTCCTCACTTCCATGGAGATGGGCGGTGCAGTCGGCGCCGCTATCTCAGGAGCCGTTTGGTCCTCGTCCGTCCCACACAAACTTCTCCTCTACCTCCCTGAGGGAAGCAAGAGCCAAGCTGCTGAGATTTTCGGCAAGCTGACCACCGCTCTGTCGTACCCAGTGGGATCTGCAACCCGCATTGCTATCAACCGTGCGTACCAAGAGACCATGAATAGGCTGTTGACGCTGGCTGTCATCGCCACTCTCCCCCTCATTCCGTTGAGTCTTCTTATGGTCAACTACAAACTTGACAAGGTAAGTCGTCAAACAATGCTTTCCGATGATCTCCTCTGACTTAGTTCTAGATGGGCTACGGTAGTCCCGAACCCCGGGCCGACCCTGCTCCAGTTGAGGCAGGGCCCAGCTCGGATAACAGACGCTCCAAACGAACCTAAACTCGAAAATTCCTGTGCATTCACGGCACACGACTATTACGACCTTACGATCTAAACCTCTTTGTGTGGCTTTTTCATGGCTTAATTTTGCCATTGCATCTCGATATAAACCAGCAAGCGACGCTTTGTGTTGCGTGAGCAAGGTGCGACACATCCTCGATATATTCTGTTCACCTGGACTGGACGACGAGCCAGTCAATTCTTTGCGTTCGGCGTCACTATTTATTTATTCTGGGATTAGAGGTATCTATCTTTTTAAGACCGTAACAATTCAACACACCTGGATAGATGTAGGTCAAGCATAATCCGTACAATCCAAAAGACACCGGCGCTTTCGATCTGACAGCAATCTTCCACTGAAACCAAGCGATTATTCCGATCTGGCCGGCTTGCCGCTCTAAGACCCTCGGGCAGTAACATGTTTCTCTCAGCCATTCCTGCAGGGGTCTTGTTTCTCTGCAACGGTCAGAAATAGAGTTAGTGATTCCGCCAGGTTGGCGCGCACACTAGACAAGGTACTTTGCATATACCAGAATCCAATATCCCGGTCTAGTCCAGCCCAGACTTCACGCATCGCGGCCTTATATCCACTGCTATCCGTCACGGGAATGATTCAGATTCATATTTAGATTTGACTTTATTTCGAGATTTCGATAGTCTAGCTAGACCCGTAGCTACTGAATCAGCGCTTAGATTTTTTTTTTTCTCTTTTACTACCCTCTCCTCTCCCCTCTCTAGCCCATCCCCTAGCTCTTATTCAGCTCGTATATGTGCCACACCCCGGGGGGGAAGACCCCAGGCCCCATACGCACCACGCCTATCCACGTATATTGCCCGTGCATGTACCTGCATATATGCATGCATGCATACCAGATACCGCGACGGAGGGGCTTAGAGATAGGAATTGAATTTGCCCGGCACCCCTGGCATGTGCATGTGCTTACTGTAAACGTATACTGTACAGGGATACGGAGTACGCACACTGTTCAAATCCATGGACAACATACGGATGCCATGTCAGCTGTCAGCGGTCAGCCATTCAGAGGTCATACTTAGTCAGTAGGGTGAGCCAAGGGCCTCGAACACCCAGTGAAGAGCCATGGTTGTGGAGAGATTAGACCTGGATTGGGCTGCCAAGCTGAGATGGGAACAAGCCACTGACGGAGAGTACCGAGTAGATAAGAACTAGAGTATGTTGGACTTGGATCGTGTTGGACTGTATGAAATGTACTGTGTATAAACTATGTATAGATACCGATGTATGGATTGTATTTTTTATTGGACTTAGATCTCTTACATAGTACTCCGTACACGTCGATGTAAAACGGGTTGAAAAGGGGATATTTAGGGCCGAAGGGAGACCGGGAACCCGTGATGGTGAAACGGGATTGAAATTGGGGGGGGGTTTTTTTTCTTAACTTGCTTTTTTTTAATCGGTTTCTTTCTTTTGTGTCACAGGAAAAGGAAGGTGAAAGAAAATAGTGACTCGAGGGGAAAAGGGGGGGAAATACTCCGGGGGTAACCTCTCCTTTTGTTCCTCGATAGCACTTTATAAGACTGAGACTTATACTTGGTATGTATTATTGGATTGATAGGTGTTTGGTACTTGGACACGTTGGATTGTTTCTAATGTAAGACTGTGATTCCCCTAGAAACCTTCGAGTCTAAAGAATAGACAGAGAATAATCATTGGATCACGGCGCTTAGCCGACAGCGGCTCGCCGTTGATATTTATAGTGTTTATAGGAGTCGAGGGGAGATTGAAGGAGATGAAGGGAGGTGAGATAGTGATACAGCCCGTTCGCTTGGCAGTAATGAGTGAGATAAAGGGAAAATATCGTATTAATATTCCAATTTTATCATATATAATTGTAGAAATTATATAAGAGCATACAATTTTTATGCCTAACTATCAGAATATCCTCTTAATATAAATACATAGGCTGTTAATCAAGCGAGAGCTGTACAGACCGTGTATCGAGACTAGCACCCGTCTAGACTCCATACTCTGCGGGTTGCCCCATTCAATCCAGACCACAGCTTCTTCCTCCCTTTTTGTCTCCCACACTCTTCTTCTCTAACACTCTTACATCAATACTTCCAAATAATTCAAAATGGTCGTCGCTACCATCAAGTATGTTATTCCATTTCCCTTCATCCACCCCCTCCTTGCCGAGTCGAAACCCCCTCTTCCAGATCTCATGGCTAACCCCAATCTCCCAGGTGTGTCGTGGTGGGGGACGGTGCAGTAGGAAAGACCTGTCTGCTCATCTCATACACAACGAACAAGTTCCCTTCGGAATATGTCCCCACCGTCTTCGACAACTACGCCGTGACCGTGATGTAAGTCATCCTCCGACGAACCCTCCCCTAAGAAAAAAATATTATACGTCAATCCAGCCTCAAAGAAACACTCCTAACCGATCACTCTACGAATTCAGGATCGGCGATGAGCCCTACACCCTTGGACTGTTTGATACCGCCGGTCAGGAGGATTACGACCGCCTGCGCCCGCTCTCCTACCCGCAGACTGACGTCTTCTTGGTCTGCTTCTCCGTCACCTCACCTGCCTCATTCGAGAACGTGCGCGAAAAGTGGTTCCCGGAAGTCCACCACCATTGTCCTGGTGTTCCCTGCCTGATCGTCGGCACCCAGACTGATTTGCGCGATGACGCCGCAGTGCGGGATAAGCTCGCCCGCCAGAAGATGTCCCCCATCCGCAAGGAAGACGGTGACCGGATGGCCAAGGAACTTGGCGCTGTCAAATATGTTGAGTGTTCCGCGCTCACACAGTATAAACTGAAGGATGTCTTTGATGAGGTACACCGAATCTTTTATTTTTGCTGCCTGATATCTCCACACCGCCACTGACCCATTATTTCTTCTACTTTCTAGGCTATTGTCGCGGCACTCGAACCTGCGCCCAAGAAGAAGTCAAGAGGTTGCCGCTTGCTGTGAACTTAATTTTCACGGACATATCGCAGGTTGGTCCGAATGCGACGGATAATGTTGCACTTGGGTTGATGCCTGGTTGACGCGCGCCTCGAAGCAGTTACGATGGAATGAACCTGTTTATTTCTCTTTTTCTCCTCTTTTTCACGTTCTATTGGGCGGCAAATATTTCTGGCTGGAATGGTTTTCTGGGATATCAAATTCAGCGACAAAAAAAAAGGGGGGGGGGGATATGGTCTTGTATTATGGCTAGCGATGCTATCTGAAGCGTTCCATATCTACATTTTCCAGTTGAAAATGCCTTCTGTGTTTTTCCTTGATCCCCATTCCTCTTATTTTGTCTCTGTTCGCATATCCCGGTTCGAGTTCTAGCCTCTCTAATTTGCTGTGTCCCTTCTCTGCTTCTTTTCTTGCTTCGCCTGGCTGCGTCTACCATCTTCAACGACCTGGGAGTTACTCTTGGGACTCGTCTCTTCTCACCTTTATCCTCCACCCTCATTCCTCTCCTTTACGAACTACAGCGACAGCAATTTTGACCTTTTCCTCCCCTTTTTGTCGCGTCGGCTATACTCCTCGCATCCCACCTATCACCTTCTCACCCGACGCTTTCACCTCTTTGGATCGTCTCTCTCGGCGTTGGACGTCAGGGCGTCGTGTTTTTGGTTATCGTCCCATATCCCTCATATGCCCCTGTCCTTTTCTCCTTCCTCACATGCTATTTAGTACCCCCAGCTTTGCGACCACCCCCGGACTATGAATTTGAGCTTGCTGTACCCTTCCCTTGCAGATCCGGCTTCTCTGCGTCTTTTTGCGTGTGATTTCGCCCTTTATTCCAATCCGATCTACTGTTGCCACTACTCACTATGCGCGCGCTCTTGATACAAGCATCTTTGTTCAGGCTCTTTCTGCTTTTGATCTTGCAGTTTTTCGAGTTATGTCTCACTGAAGAGCAACGTTATTTCTCTTAGAAAGTCGCAGCTAGTGGACTCCAATTCAACCAATTCTATGAAGTATTGCATTGCGTTTGCCTCCCGAGGTCCGATTTTCTGCCCACCTGGGCAGGTGGTCGGCTAAATAAGCTTCTACAAAGTAAGGTTACCTCGCTTCGATGCTATGACATCACTCTAGTTTATAACGTCAAGAAATCATTCAAGAAATCATATATCATTCATTCTTCACTTCGTTCATGCATCTCGTAGATCTAATTGTCCAACCTCAAAGCTCATCCTTACTCTCCTTCTTCTCAGCTCCCTCCTGCTCCATCCACCCATACCACCCACCAAGCTCCTCATCAACACCAGACTTAACAATGCTAGTAATAATTTCAAAGGCAACCTGCGCCGCCGCAAGAGCAGTAGTCTCCCCGTTATTATCATAAGCCGGTGAAACCTCCACAATATCAGCACCCACAATATTCAGCTTCTCCAATCCACGCAGAATCCGAATAAACTCGCGCGTAGTCCAGCCGCCAGGCTCAGGCGTTCCAGTTCCGGGCGCCGTAGACGGATCCAACACATCAATATCAACAGAAAGGTAAACAGGCTGCTCAGGATCAACTCCTGTCCGTGCAAGAATCTTATCAACAATTCCCATAGGACCAAGCTCATCAATATCATCCGCATGAATTCGGATAAATCCCTGCTCAGGTCCAGGGTTCGTGTAATCTCCCGCATCAACACCAGTGAGTCTCGTCCGCAGTCCTGCATGCGCAGATGTAGAATTACAAATCAGTCCCTCCCGACTCGCCTTGTGGAAGAACGACCCGTGGTTAAACTGAGTCTGTTCGGACTGCCAGTACGCGCTGTACCGAACAGGGTTCCACGTGTCGAGGTGCGCATCGAAGTGCACAACTGTTATCGGCTTCTGGTAGATCTGGTGCAGAGCCCGCAGCGCTGGCAGCGCAATGCTGTGGTCTCCACCAAGTGTCACAAGCTTGGGGTGTTTAGCGCCGATGCCGTTCGCCTTGGGGGCTTTGTTCACAATGCTGCGAGACCCAAGCTCCAGGAACGCTTCATACATCTGGCGCTCGGCGAGGCCATTGTCGAAGGGTGTGATGGGGATGTCGCCGCAGTCGGTGATCTTAGCCCAGGATTGGTATGGGTTGATTCCGGCGCGCGTGTTGTAGCTTGTTGGGGCCATTTGGCGCGCGCTCGCGGCGCGGATTGCGCGAGGTCCAAAGCGGGCTCCTGCGGGGGCTTGTTAGTAATTGCCTTCCTGGATGTGTTGAGTGACTGGGATTGGGAGGGGCTGGTTTTCGTACCTGGTCGGTAGCTGACGGCTGTATCGAACGGCGCACCAACAATGGCAACGTCGTAGTGCTCATCGGGCTCGATAAGACACTTCACCGGCTTCAAGTGGGCGAAGCTGGCAATGCCGGAGAAGGACCACTGGATAGTTACATGTTAGGAATGTTTGAGTTTTATTTCTTGGATATCGTAGTATTATCCTACCTCCTGATCCCACTTCTTGAGTAATTCCGCCCGTTCATGTTCGGGCACTACTTCGGCATTATCGTGGTGCGCGCAGGAGGCCGCGGAGCCGGCCAAAGCCAGTGTAAGGAAGGTTTTCCAAGTAGGCATAGTTGGAGTGATTGGGATGAAGTAAAAGGAAAGAATTGGGAATGAAGATAATTTATTTTTCTACATATCTCTCTGTCTCGTCAAGTTTCCTGAAGCAGTAGTGTTTGTAAAGGGAAAGACGAGCAGATAAGATGTGGTCGTCGTGCAGACTTTCCCTTCTTGGCTTTGGCCCGCTTTTCGGTTTTCTTTCTTTTGACACACCTTTGATACATAGCTTTTGTACAAAGCTATTGACGATGCAATGCGGCGAGTTGTTGTAACCGGTCTTGGGGCAGTGACCCCGCTGGGTGTAGGTGAGTTATTTCTTTTTTTTTTGGTTGCTTCTGTTCTGTTTTGATAGCTCCAAGGACGAACTTGGAGCTCACCTGGGCATGTTATCGGGTACCATGCATGCCATTCCGCAATTCCGCATTTCCGTATAGTCAGCAAGGCTATCCCTGCGAGCGCTCTACCCATCTCTGATTATCCGGGTGCTCGTGCGTGATATCCGATATCCCCGGACTCTGGGCTCTCGAGCTCCCTCTGCGTCTCCACTTCTCGCACCAGAAAGGGAAGGTTATCACAGCCAATGACGGAGGGTATGCGGATAGGTGCGGGACACTTAGAGATAAGAGACAGTACCCGCCATATACATACATACTAGGTCTCACTATACGTGTTTGATCGTACTTTAGTGTTTGGAATTTGTGAATGCTACTGACTGACACTGTGTTTGGCTGCAGGGATTCGGCGTACATGGAAACGCTTGCTAGATGGTCATTGCGGCGTTGTGAATGTGAAAGATCGCGATGAGCGCTTCGCTGAGCAGCCCTGTCAGGTTGCTGCTGTTGTGCCACAGGGCAGTCGCGAGAATGGGGGTTGGACTGCCTCGGAATGGTTGAGTCGGGGTGTATGTTTTTTTCCCACTACCTCCACTTTGTGATTTGTGTTTGGTTTGCAATGCTGACGATTCGGGATGGATAGGAAGAGCGGAAAATGGCCCAGTTTGCACAATATGCCATGGCAGCAACAGAAGAGGCGCTTCAAGATGCCGAGTGGAAGCCCGAGTCTTTTGAGCAGAGGGAGGCGACGGTATGTGTGAGAATAAGTGTTGGTATGACGGTTATACTGACTATGTTGATAGGGAGTCTGCCTGGGATCAGGCATTGGGAATTTTGATGAAATCTACAATACAGTCATCGCCTACCACAGGGGGGTGAGGCTATTTTATCGTGCATCGTCTAGGGAATTCCATAACTAACTTGTTGCACAGGGCTACAAGAAAGTAAATCCGTTATTCGTACCAAAGCTACTGATCAACCTTGGTGCTGGGCATATCTCTATGAAGCATGGGTTCATGGGCCCGAGCCACTCTGCAACGACAGCTTGCACGACTGGCGCCCATTCTATTGGCGATGCAGCTCGATTCATTGCCTGCGGCGATGCTGATGTGATGGTAGCAGGTGGCGCAGAGTCCTGTATCCATCCTTTGGCCATTGGCGGCTTTGCGCGTGCAAGAAGTCTAGCAACAGGATTTAACGATAATCCAGAGAAGGCATCAAGGCCATTCGATGCTGACCGTGTAGGCTTTGTTGTTGGCGAAGGTGCAGCTGTGATGATTCTCGAGGTATGTGTCCTGCTTTCTACGCACATACTATACAGCTCGATACTGATGTCTGAAATCCAGGAGCTAGAACATGCCCTCGCAAGAGGGGCACGGATCTATGCAGAACTCAGAGGATATGGCTGCTCCAGTGACGCACACCATATGACCTCGCCCAAGGAAAATGGCGAAGGCGCATTTTTGGCTATGAAAAAGGCGCTTAAGCAAGCCCAGTTACGCCCAGCTGCAGTTGACTATGTCAATGCACATGCAACTTCGACCATTGTCGGTGATGCTGCTGAGAACGCTGCTATCAAGGCGCTTTTGCTTGGCCCTGATGGCAGAGATAAGGCTGCTGATGTGAACGTCAGCAGCACAAAGGGTGCCCTCGGTCATCTACTTGGTGGTGCTGGTGCTATAGAAGCTTTGCTCAGTGTACTTGCAATCCATGAGGTGAGTTGCTGAAATACTGTGCTAGGGTTTCTGCTAACAGGGGACAGAATACTATGCCACCTACTATCAACCTAGATCGCTTGGCCGATGGGTTTGATTGCAACTATGCGCCAAAAGATCCCCAGTCACGACAGATTGATGTTGCCTTGACAAATAGCTTTGGCTTTGGTGGCACAAACAGTAGCCTTTGCTTTTCAAACTATTCATGATCTTTGTTCTTAGGATACGATATTGTATGATATTTTTGTTTCGACTATAACTGATTTCTAGGGCCAGAAGCTTGGCATGTACTGATTTGCCTACAAATAATCGCTACCTGATTGATCTGATTGATCTGATTGACCAACAATGTACTATATTAAGAGATTGATTGAAAGAACACCAATACCGCCATTGATCATTCTCAACAATAAACTGGAAATGTTACGCTTCAAGTACAATATAAGCTAAATTATCTATTCACTACTAGATCAACAGATGGCACGTGATTAATCCTACTGCGGAGCCCCAGCCCGATCTTGACTCCGGAGACTGAACTTATTCCTTTATAACCACACCACCCACGCCATTTCAAAGGCTTTTCTGAGTGATAAGAAACTGCTCTGTCTCTCACTCATCTTTCAGTTTGCGCTCACCATGGCGAACAGTGGTGACCCCGGTCGAGGTACGCAATACCTGGTTCCTATCAAAAGCGCAAAAGATCTGGGATACTTTGGCATCAAGCTCGGCGCATCTGAAATATATAAACGGTCTGAGCTAATCGTATGTTCTTGATAGGACCGGGAAGTCTGGTTGATGCTTCCGGGTACACCTTCACAGACAAGGATACCAAACCCGGCAAGATCAAGGTCAAGAAGACCTCCAAGGCGTCCACCAAGAAGAAGGCAGATGGTACAGCTCCTTGGACACGTTTCCATGAGCATTAATGATATTAACAAACACACAGAGGCCAAAGATGGCCCCATCGATACCTCCCCTACCGCCTCTCCCCTCCCCACCCTTGACAGCAAAGTCGTATCCGTGTTCCCAACCGGCAAGCCGCGCGAAGATGACCTCCTCGAGACCGTAATCTGCAAACATTGCAAGCGACCCACTCTTAAGCAAACCGCAGCGGATCATGTCCGCGGCTGCTTGAAGGCCAAGCAGGAGAAGGCGCGCAAGAAAAAGGAAGCCCGCGACGCGGCCAATCGCCTGAAGGCTGGCGACGATAGAGACGATGATGGACCCGACAAGATCGATGGAGACAACCCCAACATGGGCCAGAAGAGCGCCAAGAAGAGTGCCACCAAGGGCACCGAGGACGGCAACAAGAAGGGCAAAAAGCGCAAGGCCGATGAGGACGACGGTAGAGAGTCAAAGAAAAAGAAGAAGAAGGACGAGCCCAAGCAAAAGACGGCCAAGCCGAAGGGCCCTGTAGATGTCGAAAAACAGTGTGGTGTCACTCTTCCCAACGGCGCGCAGTGCGCGCGTTCCTTGACATGCAAGAGCCATTCAATGGGTGCTAAGCGCTCGGTTCCTGGTCGGACACTGCCGTATGATATGCTTCTCCAGCAGTATCAAAAGAAGAACCAGGCTCGCCAGCAGAGTAAGCTTGCTATCCTCCTGTTCGTGCTCACTATAGATCACGAGATGACTAACCCGTTGGAACTACAGAGGCTGCTATCGATGCCAACGCTCCTCTGCAGGAAGATATTGAGAACACCGGTCCCATTGACTCAGACGAAGAAAGAGATGCCGTCATGGCTGCCATTGCCCGTTCTGCTCCTCAGCCTCTTGTTCGCCACCCCATCATCACCACCAAGTCGAAGTACCGATACGTCCGCATCAAGGAGCAGATGTCGCATGCCATGGGAGTTCGGAACGGCGGTGGACTTTTCTCCAACGACGATAGCCAACCCCTTTTCGGTGGCATTTTTTTCTCGACTGTTGCAGCCGATTTGGACTCAGCTGCGTCTGTTGACGCCAATGGAGAGGCTGATGTCTCTGCTGGTGGAATGGATGCAGGTAAGAGGTCCGCTATCGCAGCTGGCCGCAAAACTCCGGTCACTTCAGCGACTTGATTGGCATATCAGTCGACTTCCGCAGGTGATGATTTATGACAACTCTCTTTTTGTTTGCGGTTGCGTTGGAGCTTTTACTGCCTGTTCTGGATACTGGATGCTGGCGTTCATAGGTGCAGGAGGACTACTGACCATCGCACCATTCTTTTTTTCTTCCCATCTTGCTCTTTCGATTTCCCTGGAAACGCCATGGGTACAGGCTGGTTCTGTCTGCTTTGAAAGGTGACGATATGATACCCCGGCTGGCGTGATATGTACATTTGAAGTTTCGAAAGTAGTTGCAATTGAATACTTTCCACATTATTGAGTTATGACTGATATATATATCTGTAAGCATATATGCTATCTGTAGTTGTACACAATATTCCAATAAATGCACTATGCAGGACCTAGCTCTATAGCCCAGACAGTGAAGCTATTCAGATTACGTGATATATGCCTGAGGCATCAGGGCGTCTCTCAACTCATTCCGTTCGCCGATTTATCCATTGTCTTTGAATCTAAAAGCATGAGCAAAGCGAGCCATACTCTGACCCTTGGGTGATCCTCTTTATTTGTTCTCTTCAAAGCCACCTGCAGCTGAAAAGCGCCTGGTTTATACTGTCGCGATTGCGGGCGAGTGCCCTTCTATCACTCCACCACCAAGCAAGCTCTCCGAGTCTTATTGATCGCAGTTCGACCCCCGTCTCTCGACTCTTGAGGGAAGTCCAAGCCTTCCAGGCTCATTTCTAGGTTTCTTGTACCATAAAACCCGCCTTCTGCGCCTTCGATACTTCACAATGAGCCACCCTGTCCCCAGTCTAGACACGATAGGCATCAAAGCCGACCATGACCTAGCTGATCAATTTCGCCGCGAAGTCGCCAAACTCCTCGGGCGCAACAATCTCAACTTCCCTGGAGCACAACCGGTCAGCTTCTCGTCGCGACACCTCAGTGAGCTGCAGCGGGAGGACTACTTCGTCTGCGAAAAGACCGACGGCATCCGTTGCCTGATGTACTTTGCGCGCGGAGATCCTGACTCCAACTCGCCGGAGATTCACTACCTGATCGATCGCAAGAACGATTACCGTTACGTACCAGGCCTACATTTCCCCCTACCGAATGACGAAAGTTTTCAGGGATACCATGTCGACACCCTGGTTGACGGCGAGCTTGTCAATGATACCTACGAGGATGGAACCACCCAGCTGAAATATCTGGTTTTTGACTGCCTGGTGCTAGACGGACAAAGCTTGATGCACCGTACCCTGGATAAGCGGCTGGCGTATTTCAAGGAAAAGGTGCTCAGGCCATACAATGCCATGTACCGCAAATTCCCGGAGGAGAAAGCCCACCGCCCCTTTGCAGTCGAAGACAAATCCACGCAATTCAGTTACGGCATTGAGATGATGTTCCGCGAAATTATCCCCAAAGTCAAGCGCATTCACGGTAACGACGGTCTCATCTTTACTTGCCGCAGCACTCCGTACCGCATCGGCACCGACGAACACATCCTCAAATGGAAGCCACCTCAAGAGAACACCGTTGATTTCCGTATGCGTCTCGAGTTTCCGACTCTGGAGCCAGATACTGAGGATGAGGCTGAGGGTATCACCCAACCCTACGTGGACTACGACGCTATCCCTACCTGCCACCTGTTCGTCATGCTCAATGCTGGCGAGTACCGTCTTTTTGGAGAGATGTTTCTTGAGCCGAAGGAATGGGAAGATCTCAAGGCTATGCGCATTCCTCTTGATGACACTATCGTTGAATGTGCCAAAGATAATGAAGGACGCTGGCGCTTCCATCGTCTTCGTGATGACAAGAACGATGCAAATCACATCTCCACTGTTGAAAAAGTTCTTGAAAGTATCGAGGACCGTGTAACCGAAGAAGATCTCATCCGCCTTGCTCCCATCATCAAAACAGCTTGGAAGCAGCGCCAGCATAACATGGCTGCCGGGGATGAGGAGAAAAAACGGAGAGCCCAGGCTATGCCACCATCTGCGAATGCGAATGGTGTTAAGCGAAAGTTCGAAGGGTGATGAGAAAAATGTATAGCCTTTTTGGCTCAGACATATGCCTTCTTTCTCAGCTGCTCTTCGTCTCCGATTCATTGCAAAGGCGCTTGGCGTTGGTTTGGGCTTTGTATTTCTAAAAGATCATGGCATGGCAGCATGGAAGGGGATGTAAATCCCGAAAACAGGGGACGGTGTTTATGGCATTATCATTTGGATTTTTTCAAGAAATGAAAAAGATTTACCCTCTTGTAATGTACTCTTTTAAATCCTCAACACGAAAATATATCGAAGTTATGTATAGCACCATCCAGATGCGGAACAGCTTACGTAACAATCTCCCAGTTTGCTCCCTTTCCCGCATCATTTCCCCATCACCAAATGACCATAGTATCTGTTCGATTTTATCATTCCCATCTCTGATATTGCTTCAGTCCCTACTGCCAGTCCAACAAGATGGGCGTCCGAGATTCCCACGGGGAGATGACGGGGACGCCCGATCCCGTTGACAAGGGGTTCGCCACACTCAACACCATCAGGTATGTCGCTTTTTATATCTAAAATAATTAGCCTTCGGGTTTTTATGTCTACTTTTATCGGTCGCAAATGCTAAATATCCTGATAGAATCGGTGTGAAGGCCATGGTGCAGAAGGTTCGTTTTGACCTTGTGATCGCAAATTCTGGCGATCGTATCACGTGCTTATCAATCAGCGCGGTCAACCCTCAAGTTGAGCTCTGATACTGACTATTCTGTGTAGGATGGAGAACTGCGAAAAGCTGAGATTCTATCAATTAGGCAGCGGAAGGATGGCCCTTCGTTTTAGTATGTTTGCCTCTGTTCATACCACGTCTGTGCTTTCCGAATTGGTGCTGATATAGATCCTAGCGTACACTATGTCGATTTTAACAAGCGTCTTGATGGTAAGTTCCCACTCCAGCAAGTGCATTGATTCGCTTTGGAATTTCCCTGACTTGAATTTCTAGAATGGGTTGCATCTTCTCGCATCGATCTATCTCAAGAAGTTGAATGGCCCCAGCCAGAAAAGGCTGATAAGAAGAAGACCGCTGCTGCCAGCAAAGCTGCGCCCAGCAAGAATGTGACTGCAAATAAGCGTGCCCGGGCTGACAGCCGTGATTTGTCACAAACACCCGATATCCTGGGCGGCAAGAACCTGAATGTCGGCAAGATATCACGGCCCTCGAAAGCTGGAGGCAAAGAAAACCTCGGTGCTGACACACCTGGAGGAGACACATCGATGTTCCCATCCGAGGCTGTGTCAACAGTTGGCACGCCTAAGGCTACTGAATTAGAAGACTTCGAGATGGCAGATGCCGCAGCAGAAAGCAAATCGGTAAAAGAAGATCAAGTCCAAACGGCAACAGGCGAGGTGATTACACGTGGGGAGGAAATTGAGCGACTCCGCACAGGCGGTAGTATGACACAGAACCCGACGGAGATCCATCGCGTGCGAAACTTGACTCGCCTTCAGATGGGCAGGTACGACGTCGAGCCGTGGTACTTCTCACCCTACCCGGATTCCTTCTCGGACGTCGACCTAGTCTACATCGACGAATTCTGCCTCAGTTACTTCGACAATAAGCGTGCGTTCGAGCGCCATCGCGCCAAATGCACATTGACACACCCACCCGGTAACGAGATCTACCGTGACGACTATATCTCCTTCTTTGAAGTCGACGGCCGTCGTCAGCGCACCTGGTGCCGTAACCTGTGTCTCCTGAGTAAGCTCTTCCTCGACCACAAAACGCTTTACTACGACGTCGACCCGTTCCTGTTCTACTGCATGACCACGCGCGACGAGACAGGCTGCCATTTCGTCGGCTACTTCTCTAAGGAGAAGGATTCCGCTGAAGGGTATAACCTGGCATGTATTATGACTTTGCCGCAATACCAGCGCCGAGGTTTCGGCCGCCTGCTCATCTCGTTCAGCTATGAGCTCAGCAAGCGAGAAGGAAAGCTCGGTTCCCCTGAGAAGCCACTCAGTGATTTGGGTCTACTTGGTTATCGACAGTACTGGCGCGAGACGCTAGTGGAGTTACTGATGGAGCCAAACCGAGAAGCCATGAGCGAGAACGAGCTCGCAGTGCTCACGTCGATGACTGAGAAGGATGTCCACGAGACTCTAGTTGTATTCAACATGCTTCGATACCATGTAAGTTTAATTTCCTACGTGTGCACTGCACCGCAGCATATACAATACTGTACGGTTTACTAACTGTCTTTGCAGAAGGGTAATTGGGTCATTGTGCTCACGGACCATGTTGTGGAGGAGCATGAAAAGCGTCTCAAGAAAGAGGAGATCAAGGGTGCACGCAAAATTGATCCTGCCCGTCTCCAGTGGAAACCTCCTGTCTTTGCTGCTTCCAGCCGGACCTGGAACTGGTGATGGGAGGTTTTCTGCGAGCTGTTTTTAATATGCGTGGTTATCTATGTAATGGATGTTGGGGCTTGTTTTCGGGGCGTTATGAATGTCAAAACTATGGTGTCCCCACACTTGGTGGTATCACAGGTGCCACCATATCTGTGTTGACTCGGTTGTTTTGGCATTACGGTTGATGTGGTCGGCGTACTCGAGGGGCAAGGGCGTTTATCTTGAGCCTTATAAGGGCTTTCCTCGGTTGATACCTATCATTTGTGTAAATTATTTAACTATCCTCTATCTTCTGCTTATGCTTCTGGGCCTTCTTTAATTGTAATCATTTGATTTCTCAGAACTCAATACCTAATATCACTGCCACAATACCTCACAATAGTCCCGTCGTAGGGCCGAGTATCCCATCTTAGCTATAGCATAAATATTTCCCCCCAGCTTCCAAAAAAAAAGCCCCACAACCCCCCGGTGGTTATCTATTGCCAGTCGCTGGCAGCATCTTTGTATATGGTGCTACTTCTCCCGTAGATACGTCAACGGGCTAGCAATACTCCAGCAAGTCCAAGAACTTTGCTCGCCATTGATTATAGCCCGGCTACAGGCTCGTTCCAAATAGATGACCCCCTGTGCCTTTCGAGTTTGCTGGATTTGTGTGCAGAAATCGGCAAACGGCGGGATTTAGGGTAGGATTTCGGCGATTTCATAGGCATAATAGTTCGGCATTGTGCATAGAAGGATTCGAAGGAATAGGGTACCAAAATGCAGGCTCTAGGGCGTGTTCAGTTCGTATCTTCTCGTCACGGTCTCGAATGCGCGCTTCATATTGTGTGATCTGTAATACATCATTAGCCTATGGCCTAAACAAAGCATTTCTCGAGCTCTTGGTGTGATCCGAGGCAACATCTTTAGTTGGGCAAGTTTTGCTGTCATAAATGCTGGTTCTCAGGTCGCAACACTTAGAAAGCAGGATGGTTGGGATTTGGCGGGGAGTTGACGGATGAAAGTGTGATATGGACAATGTCATCACCTCCCGGATGGATATGGTTGAGATTAAACACTATGGAATTAGTAGATTGACCGAGAGTACCTATTTTGGGAGATGAAGGTTATTGAATTTGTTACGAGAGCCGACGGACCACACAGCAGCAAGCCATTTTTTTACCTATCGTAAGAGCTAGAATTTACATTTATAATGGACCAAGAACTTGAAATTTTGTAACAATGGAATTCTCTTAATAAGTGTCGGTGCGGGTTTGACTGAATACTCGGCAACATGAGGCAATGTGATACTGCTAGGTCGGAACAAGCATGCACCACTCGGGCAATGATCACGCAAACAGGACGTTGAATTGGTAGACGGTGATCATCTACACATCAAAAGCCAAAAGAGAGGCCGTAGGTCCTGAATGGGCCGGGGGAGGAGACACATAGGTGGGAAAACGAAAATCACAAATACATGAGAAACGCGAATGCGTGAAGGGTGTAGAGGAAGGATCTGGATCATGAGCCCAACTTCAAAAAAGAGCAACGAAGTGGACAGTGGCAACAAGAGTCAGAAAACAGATGTTGATTAGGAGTTGGCGAGAACGATCCCGAATTCTCGTCTCCCAGGCATATGAATCAAAAGAAAATACCGAAAACGCTGTGAGAGTGACCATATGCTCGCAAGACCGAAACTTCTTAACGAGAAGTGGGGGGTTCGGGGCTCCAGCCCGAGCGCTGACGGGGTTGCTGTCGTGGGGTGGTGTTGGAGGTAGACTTCTTAGAGCTACCACCAGAAACATCACCGGGTTTGTTGTTGATCCCCTTGCGAGGTCTGGCATTTATGTTTGGGTTGTTATTGCGGCCTCGAGTCGGGCCAGCCTTGCGTTGAATGAGGACAGGCTTGGGTTCAGAGCCACCTGGAAGCAGAACCGAAGTGCGAGTATTGCCATGGTTATCCCGATCATTGTGTCCAACCACGAAGGGCTGAATACTCTGTGCCTGCACTGGCTTGAAATTCTTGCCGCGGGATCGCTCTGACGGACGAGCTGCACTCCAAGAATTTTGGGGTGCCATATTCGGCACGCGAACAGCAGGGAGAGATCCAGGTTCGCGGTCTTCGAACATCTCATCCTGTTCATTGACTTGTCGAACGGCGAAATCACCATCACCAGTTTGAGAGTCAATCTTGGTCTGGGGGATAGAGACTGAAACAGGGGCAATATGAACAGGAAGAGGTTCCTTGGTAGCTGATGTCACGGCCAAAGCACTTTTCTTCTGCGTAGGGGTAGTCTTCCCGAAGAGGCCGTTAATCTTGTCCTGCCACGAAAGCGCAGTCGAAGGAGGGGCCGTGTTACGTGGTGGCGCAGCTGCCATTGAAGCAAAAGTTGGTGGAGGTGCCGGGGCACCAATGGCCTTGGGGGGAAGTTTGACGACCGGCTTGGGGGCCTTCGGAGCGGGAAGGTTGACGTGGGGCCGGCTCGAGTCTCCAGAATAGACGGGGTGGCTTGTAACTTCTTCGGGGGAGGCGGCGAAGGACTGCTGCGCTCCTTCTCGACGACCTGGCGCTTCGACTGTTCAGATGCAGGAGGGAAAAACCGGGAGCTGCGAGTAGAAATATTGCCGGCCGGACGAACACCGATGTCAGTCACGTTGAGTCCATCAATAGGAGTATCGAGACTGGTAAGAGGATTGGATTGCTGATTTGCGGCCGCCTTGGCTTTGGCTTTGGCGATATCTTCCTCATTGGTGACCACCCTTTCGGTGACCTGGGTGACAATTCGTCTGCCATCTTCAGTAGCACGTGTTTTCTTCCAAGTTTCATTGAAGACCATTGCTACGGGTGGCGGGGCTGGGGCTCCGTTCTGTCTGTCGTGAAGTCGCTTCAAAAAGTCTTTCGCGTTCTGTGACTCTTTCTCCAGGGCGTTCTCATGGAAGTTATTCCAATCGCTAACGGCACGAGCACTTCGGTTGCTCGGCGGTCCAATTGGGCTGGGGCGCCCAATAGGGTTGAGGGATTCAAATGAGGGGTGACGTGCCTCAGATGACGGCAAAGCATCGGTTGGCTCCTTAGGAGCAGAAAACTTGGGAGGGGTAGGCATATTTGATGAATCCAAACTAAGTTGGCCTAGAGGGTTTTCACGTGATGCAAAAGTCCCCAAGGGTTGGTCAAAGATGCCGTTACCGAGAGTGGGAGTGCGGTCACTGCCAAACGGTTTCCACAGATTTTTGGCAGATGTGGACGGCACAGCAATGTTGGGGTGAGACCACGGTGAAGTTGAAGCTAAATTGCCTTGCCACTGAGTACCGTGCTCGTCGAGCTTTGGATCAGATGCCTTGCTCTGGGCGGGTGAGTGAGGTTCAGTCTTGAGGTGGGATGAAGTAGATGTAGGTGCAGAGTCACGATGGGGTTCTTGGTGGGGTGATGAGACGCGTCGGTTGAGATGTTTGCTCTCAGATGAGCGGTCATGCGCACCAACGAGTTTCTTGACAGAGTCGGGATGATGCACTTTCATCATACCATACTGTTTCGGTTCCCGGTTGGGTTCTGGAACAGGAGGCTTTGGTGGTGAAGAAATGGAATGAAGGGGTTGATGTGGAAGTTGGGAAGGGGTTTGGGGAGGATGAAGAGAGTGAGAGTGAGGGTGAGGTTGAGATTGAGGTTGAGGTAGAAGAGAGGGGGGTTGCGCGTTTCCGTGGTTTTCTTTTCTGGCGCAGGACCCATCGCTGCGAGACGCTGCCTAATCCTCTCCTTTTTAGCTGCTTCCTCTTTCTCCTCTTGCTCAATTTTTCGTTGTCTCGCCTCTAGACGTTTTTCCTTCATAATACGCTCTTGCAGAGCAACAGGGTCCTCCTGAGGTTCTTGAGGAACCTGAGGAACTGTAGCCTGTGTCTCCACAAGAGACATACCTATATCAACAGCCGGACGAGCTGTACCGTTTGGACCAGACAGAGGCATTTCGTCTTTGCCATGTTGCTGCTCGTGGCCCACTATTGCTGAATCACCCAGGCCATTCACTTGAGAACCTCTTCGGGCATCATTGTATCTCTGAGGAGCATCAAAGCGGCCAACTGACATCTTACGGCCAAATCCTCCGCTTCCTCCGCTCACGTTTGATGATGTGCGACGACGACCTCCCCACCCCATACCCTCCTGGTGACTAGATCTGTGCGTTTGGAATGCAGCAGATGGCTCTGCCGGTCCACTTGGATGGTCGTTTGGCCTCTGCAAAACCGCAGGAGCACGGGGGTGTTGGTCATGACGCCAAGATCCTCTCCTGGTTTCTGCCACCGGCTCGTACTGGGAAGACCGAGGGTTGAAAAGCTGAGGCAAATCTGACTGATCTTTCCATGCACGGTTAAAATCATCCGCTGCAATCTCCTTGGGTGGCATTGTCATTGTGGCGTGGTGGCCGTCATCCCTCTGGGGGTATCTCATGGGCATGCGCTGTTGGTGAGGCTGAACTGGAGCAATGACTGGAGACACTCTTTCGACGGGAGGCAGGGCGGCCCAAGGAGACTTGGAGGGTGGTGCTGGGCTTGTGGAGCTAGATGGAACTTTGTCATTTGTGCCGTTAGAAGAAGCACTTGCAGTTCTCGCTTGCCGTTCAGCGTTCGCTCCAACTTTAAGTACCATAGCACGAGACCCCATTGATACAGCCGGCTTCGGTACAACCTTAGGAAGCTCCTTCATGATGCTTGGCTCTACAGGCGGTAGCTCTTTGGGCTCCTTAGGCTCCTTGGGCTCCCGATGACTAGGAGCCAGCGGAGGTTCAGTGTGAGGTTGAGTGAGATTGACCTTAGTTCCATCTGTCCATTCAATCGTCTCAGGCGCCCAATCATCTTCATCGTCATCAATATCCGCCCACTTTGCTTCGGAGCTAACAGCCCCATCTTCTTGAATACGCGAAGTCATGTGAATTCCGTATTGTTGTTTCAGTTCTTCATCGGTCAAGTGTTTCGGAGGAGCGGGCACAACAGCTAGATAGATATCAATGTCAGTTTCAACAATTCCACGACATCGCATGACCAATACATACGCCTGTTTTTATTCCACACTTGATTTGGATCAGGCCCTGATCCACCAGGCTTGCCTCCACCTGCTCCGGTCTTCGAAAAGGAATCACGCATGCCGAGTGTTGTCTTCGCAACCAAGCGCGGACGGGAGCTTGGCTGTGGGGTACCGAGTGGTGTTGTAGAGGTTGGCACTAAACAAGTTAGAACTAACTATAGGAAACGATTGACACAGAACATACCTTTCTCGGGCACCTTGGGTGGTGTTGGAGCCCCCGGGACCTTGTTTACCGAGAACTTGGCAAATGAGACTGGCTTGAATCCTGCTGGTTTTTTGACTGAGCCAATATGAGTATGATTCTTGCCATCTGACCGGCTCGCATCCGACTCCGAACCACCTTGTGATGCTGTGTCCTCTCCGCCGTCCGATGCCGAGGCTAGTCCATTAAGTTCAAGAACTCGCGTCGCAACTACTCCAGCACCCTGCTTCGACGTTTCCTGCCCCAATATCAGCAAGTGCTTTGGATCGCACCCAGAGGCTATTCTCACCATCGTCGAGCCTCCAGCGTCCTTATCGCCGGCAATTCTTCCTTCCCGTGAATCAAGAGTGTTCGTTTTCTCATGGTTTTGCTGATCATTCAAGTTTGAGTTCTTCGATGTAGCGGTGTTCATTGCGATATGTTCGGTCTTCCCTGCGTCCCCTCCAGCAGATAGTTTGTCGTTAGTGCTCGCAGGAACGTCGGAAGGCGAAGGCTCGCCGCCCGACAGGGTCTGATCTACCACATCGCGGTTGCTCTGCTCTGCCATAACAATACTCGATTCTGTTCCATGTGGTAATTGCGACCACGTAAGCCAAGTGCCCTGACAGCGGGGAGATAGATCCGGGCACGTAATAGGCAGTCGCAGATCAAACATGCCAGATTCCCAAGAAGACATACCTATCGTCAGATACCAAGGATCGCCACAGTTGCACTGGTTCCTTGACTGGTTGCACCCTGAATATTTGGGATATCACAACCAGGGATGGGATCGGTCAACTCTCTTGGAAGTTGATGAGAAAGCCCGTGTTGGGTTGGGCTCGCTGTGGAGAGCACGATCGCGGAATCGATAGGCGCGTGGTGTCTTGGGAAATCCGCAGCCCAAGAGGTCCCAGAGAGGGATTATGGCAAAGGGGGAGGGAGTATGCGTAAGGACGGTTGATGATACAAAGATAGGGAGGATGATACGAGATTCAAGAGTCAACTCGGGTTGAAGCTGAGGGTCGCTGCTTTCGGTTTAGCGTGGCCCGTACGAAAGTTGTGAGGTCTGCCCACACACCTTTTGAATCTCCTCGAAAGCCCTAGTTTTTCGATGTTTGATCAATTTAAGCAGTGGCTTTGTTGGATGCTGTCGTTGCTTGCAACTCAGAATTCCCGGGGATTTCTTGACATCTGGTGTGAAGTTGGTATGTGATGGGAAACCCCCGTGGAAAGAGCCCGTCACTCAAAGCTTCTATGTAATATGTATACTTCAAACAAATCTACTGCAACTACAACAAAATGACAAAGGATAGTTAATCTGAATATTGAAACAGTGAGGTTCTAAATTTCTCGCCAAAACCTCAGTTTTCCCTTGCATTAGGACAGAGGATCCAGTATATACATCAATCCTCCACCTATTTGATGGAAAGAGAAAGCTTAGTGGGGGTGGTTCTTGTGGTGACCTAGTCAAAACAATAAAGTCAGTGAAATCCCAGCTAATAAAAAAAAAAGGTATATAAGCAGTTTGATAACCGGAAAACACATACGCAGGTGGAAGTAGTATTCCATGCTGTAACCCAAAATCAGGATACCGCCAATAGCGTGGATAAGGGCTGCATCGACATCAGTATTTATATCAATACAAGGGGACAGACAGCTAATGAATACGTACGAACACCGGAGGCGTTCTTGCCATTGAAGTAGCGAGCCTGGTAACGACCGATGAGGCCGGTAGGCTTGACAGCAGCTGCAGGGCCACGGGGAAGACCAGCGTAGAAAGTCACAACACGCTCCATGCGAGCAGCATCCTGGGCGGCACCAATGGCCTTGAGCGAGAATATGTCAGTTATGAAGGCAAAAGGACGGCGACATTTTAAATCAAATCGCGGACTCCACGAAAAACGGGTTCGGAGCGGGACGGGTGGAAGGGATGCACTAAGTCGAAGGTGGCAGCGCATGGATAACTCACGTTAGGGGAGGCGACCTGGAAGGACAATTAGCATCATCTAAGGAGTGCAGTGACTACAGATAGTCATGAGTGAGGCTATTCTTACCTTGGGGGGAATCAAGGTCGAGAGACCTCGGCGGGCAATGTAGCTCATCTTGTCTAGGCTGAATGGGGTCAGAAATTGGTCGTAATGAATAGAGCGGCTCTCAATGATCATTTGCAGGGCGGTAGAGACGTGGACTTACGTTGATTCGCAGCGCAAGTGAACCAAAGAAAGCTGATGGAGGAGGAAGGAGGAACAAACCGAGCCCTGCGGGTGTTCGGCTTGCCAAGCCCGGCTAAACCCGATTCGGTGGTGTCGTGACCTGCCTGCAATTCGCAACCAAACCACACTTAAAGGGAGTACTCACTGGCAACGACCATTCCCCGCATCCAAACAGACACAATGTCACTTTTCAGAATCGGGGGTGCTGCTAGCCTTCGGGTCAGCCGACTTGCTGCGCCTGTTAATGCCCGCTTCGTCTCCGTCAATGCCCCCAAGGCTGTTCCTTCCGTGAAGACGACCACTTCGGATGCTCCCACCACGCCTCCCAAAGACAGCTCCTTGATCACCAAGGAGACCCCCTCCGAAGCCCTGGCCCGTCACCAGCCGGACTATGAGGCCACCATTGACCATGGCACTTCGTACGACATTCCCCTTTGGTTCCGTCGCAGATCCTTTCACTAACTCGTTGGGTTCAATTAAGGCAATTCTCCCCAGTGCCCAAACGCGTGATGGATGGTAGTGAGCCCGGTAACACTCTCCCCGCAGCCGTTCTCTCCGGAGCCCCTACCGATCTCCAGGCCCGCACTGTCCGGTACGTTGTACAAATTTCAAGCCGTATCGCCTAGCTTCCACACACTAACTAATGACTCTCACAGTATCTACCGGCCTACCAAGGCTGCAACACAGTCCGGCACCTGGCACCAGCACCACTGGCGCATGGATTGGGATATCTTGCAGCGGGGTCACCGCTGGGAGAACTCGCTCATGGGCTGGCAGTCGTCTGCCGATTGCATGCAGGGCACTAACCTGAAGTTCAAGTCGAAGGAAGACGCAATCGATTTTGCCCAGAAGCAGGGTTACGAATACTTTGTTCAGGAACCGAATGAGCGCCGTTTCGTGCCCAAGTCTTATGCCAACAACTTCGTTCACGAACCCAAGAAGATCAGACATATCAAGACCAAATGATTTGACTTCGCGCTGTATTATGTACATATTTGCCAGTTTACCACTCGAACTCGATTTCAATTTTTTTCATCCATTCTAATATATATTATCTCTAAACGTCGTAAGTTAGGGCTAACGACTACCAGTCAACTACCAGGAGTAAACGGAAAGGAACAGAAAGCAATTCCGCCTCTGTGTGGCGATTTATTATTTTTTGGAAATGTCTGCACATGCATATATATCCCTTGTCTCTTTGTAAAATCTTGTGTTTAAATCAAAGTGCTCTTAGGTATAACTAACCGGCATTACGATGCACGCCCCTTGCTAATTTTATGATATCGACTATACGGAACCTTCAAACTTCATTTGGATACCAGCATCTCAAATACGTGAGGGCATAAAACCAAAATGAGAGTCTCTTGATGTACAAAATAGGGCTTTCAGCCAAAGAACAGATTTAGTCCACTAGCCCTCCCTAGGGGTAGCATTGTACTGTGAGATGGGCGTAAATGAATAAGGGTCTTTCTACATGGTCTATATATTGCAAGATCATTACTTACTCCAATTTTTAGTTTTATTCTATAGCATTGAACAAAGTTGCATATATAGGAAAGCTTATCAACCGATCCTTGTAGCTCCAACTATCTAGTATTTCTCAAGACAGCTTTGTTCGGATGTCGACGTGATTTCCATAGTACCATGCAGCCACTGTGGCTGCACGGGCATGTTCTATGCGAGCAAGAATGTGCTAAGAGCTATTAAGTATAAGGCTAACTTTGGTTCTGCGATACTTCAAACTGGTCTATTCAAGTCTCTGTTCTGTTATTAACTGTATGTTTTGGAACCTCTGGGTGTCTTGTAATATGTGTATAACAAGTATGAGAACAAGTATGTATTTCATCGCATAAATATTGTTTTCGAAGCTCAAGCATTCCACAGATACATAGTGTGCAGAAGGAAGATCCGTGCAGTAAGTTAAAAAAAAATCTATATATATCTTCGACGATCAGCGTTCCCACCTACAAGAACCCGCATACTCAACCCTCAAACCTACAAAAATACATGATCATGAACTGCAAGGGTAGTACCTAGGTATAATCTACAATTACCAATGAATTATGGCTTATGGCTTAGGCTTACACCGGAAGCATTGTAGACAATAACGTACGAGCAAGAAATCCACGCGCAGGCAGCTAAAGCCTGAATGGGCCCCGCCACCCCCCACTCTAAAAATTGATAAGATCAAAAAAGATCAAGAACTTTTCTTTTCCACCTTTATACTCCCGACATCTCCCTCTGGAAACACCCCTCAAAATGGGTTCCGAAATAGATAATACCGTCCCTACTCTCCGCAAGGTCCTGGTCTCCGAAACCGAGCCACTTGCTCGCCGCTTCCGCGCTCTTTTCTCCCTTAAACACCTGGCCTGCCTACAGCCCACCACAGACCAGACCCTCCCCGCCATCGAAGCGATCGCCGCAGGTTTCGTGTCGCCCTCAGCTCTGCTCAAGCATGAGCTTGCCTACTGCCTCGGCCAAACCAAAAATTTCGAATCTGTCGCATACCTGCAACATGTTCTGAAGGATACCGAGGAGGATGCGATGTGTCGCCATGAGGCTGCCGAGGCGCTGGGTGCTCTTGGATACCCAGATAGCTTGGAAATCCTCAAGAGATTGAGGGATGATACAAAGGAACTGGATATCGTCCGGGAAACTTGCGACATTGCTGTGGACCGAATTATGTGGGAGAACTCAGAAGAACGCAAGGCAGAGAAATTGAAGCCTAGGTACGATTCTCGCGCGAGATTATATACGAAGAAGAGAAGTGCTAACATTGAGATCTTTAATTTACAGTGATTTCACCTCTATTGACCCTGCTCCACCCATGCCCCTAGAGGCCAGCGCCGAACCCTGCATCCCCGACCTGGAAAAGACACTGCTTGACACAAAGCTCCCTCTGTTCCAAAGATACCGTGCGATGTTCGGTCTGCGCGACCTTGCCTCGCCCCCAGATCTCCCCACAGCTGTCGACGCCGTCAATGCGCTGGCTAAGGGCCTCAAGGACCCCTCTGCTCTATTCCGCCATGAGGTTGCCTTTGTGTTCGGACAACTCTGTCACCCTGCCTCGATCCCTAGTCTCACAGCCTCGCTGAGTGACCTGTCGGAAGTAGGAATGGTGCGGCACGAAGCGGCGGAGGCCCTTGGCAGCCTGGGCGAGGAGGAGGGTGTGGAGGAGACTTTGAGGAAATTCTTGAATGACCCCGATCAGGTGGTCAGGGACAGTGTCATTGTTGCTCTTGACATGGCAGAATTTGAGAAGAATGGCGAAACCCAATATGCACTGATCCCAGATAGCGCTGCACCCATTGCTGCATGATGGATATCCTGCAAAAAAAGAAAATTGTCTCGTGACGGTCGTGATTTTAATACTCTTGTCCCGCTAGTTATACAGCCTTTCTCCAAAAATAGACCTTTCCCCACATCATTTGTACAATCCAAGTTTTCAAGATTAATTGTTGGAGGTTTCTCTGTTGAAATAATCAGTATTCGTTGGGCAAGCATAATTAAATGCTTTCGGGGAGGACGGGCATACTTGAATCCGCAGACACATCTGTAGAACACGGTACTTCCTTCATCGGCACTGCGAAGTTGCACTGTAGTGTAGAACATCTGCTTCCTCCCACAGTCGTTACATGTACGATCAATAATAGCCTCAGTCTTCCGGTCCTCTGCTGACAGGGTCTGGACTGCGGATCGTTTGGCTCTCAGTGCTGAGGGGAATGCGGAAGGCTTGGATTCGGATACGGTTGTTTGGGGGATTGTATCTATAAACTAAAGATTAGCAATGAATCGGCAGGCAGCGTAACAGAAATGACAAAGGTTTTTTGTTCACTCACCTTTGTTCCGAGTGCCGCAGACATCACAGTGCAGAATCGCATCTGCATTGCCAGTAGATTCTCGTAGGAGATTACCGCAATCTGTGCAGAAAATTAAGGAACCGATGACAGACATGTTGACGAATGTAAAATGAACTTCACGATCTGAAAGCTGCAAAATACTAAGGGTGCAAGCAAAGTGACAACGAATCGGGTCTTATGCAGCAAATAACCTATGCAACTTTTTTTTGACGCACGAGCCTCCATATAGGCGGTCACACGCGGCAATAGGGGTGCCGTCACCCATACGGAATTCATGAACTCATTTGGTCGTAGCTCAGCTCATTTTCTTTGAGATTCTGAGTTTTTTTTATATTACTTAAATGATCTAGGGATGTCATAAGGCGCCTGCCTTATTTGCCATGTCTCTACCAGGAGCATGTCAACCTTGTGACTCGCGCCTACCTCTTTTGACTTAACTGCGACCATGGACCAGAATGGACGACCCGCCGTCCAGGTGGTCATCAATGGCCATGATCAGATGCCACCATATGCCTCCAATATGCAATTTCAGAATCAAAGGCCGTTATCTGTGGATGAAGCACTACAGTACTCATCCATGTCAAGCGCGCCTGTCTTTGGCCTTGGTTCGTCTGTTCTCTTTCTTTCTTCAATTCTGCTCAATTTACTGACGACTTATATGCATAGACTGTATCCTACGTCCCGATGTTGGCCGGCCCTCAAATACCACTTCTATAAACCATGTCCTCCAAGAAGGCCGCAAAACACTGGGTGAACTCGATATGGAGATGCAATCTGGACGGGACGAGTCTAGTCGTTTAGAAACGTCTCGAGAATATATTCAACAGTTGCTGGATGGAGACCAGCTGACAGAATTGTAAGAAAACCTGAAGTCTTTTAAGCGCAATCAACTCATTTGGATTTCGTAGCAAATTCAAGCTTCCTCAGATTCCTCCCCGAAGTCAACAGTTACATCCAAACGACCCTGATGGTGCTACTTCTGGTAGCAATAGCCTTGGTTCCTTCGCACGGATGATGCTTAACTCAACGGATATTGCTTTCAGATGTAAGCCCCAAGATACCACGGCTGTTTGTACATAGTCAATTGACTGA